AAGTATTTTATTTTCTACTTTTTAGTCCACAAGAAAAACGATTAAGACTTGATTAAGTATGACTTGACGTACGTATCGATAATACGCAGCGTCAGCACCTGCTCGTCTATAACGTCAGTGCCCGCACGTCATACTATTAATATACTATATATATACTTTACTCAATTAAACTAATTTAGGTCTCTAATTACTAGTTTTTATGATTCTATCTGAAATTGTTAGGCGAAAATAGCCTGCATGCCGAATTTCAGATCTCTAGAACAATCAGAAGTGGGCTAATTTTTGTTGTCAATGTTAACAACAAACAAACAAACAAACGCGAAGCTAAGCTAAGAAAAACGTGTTAAAAAGGGCAGTTATTGCCTTCAAGAATGGCCAAGGTGGTGTTTTGACTTTTGGTAAATAATTATTGATAATTCTATTCATTAGCTTTGTAAAGTTTGCATGTAGCAAGGTAATGAGCTAAATATTGATCATTTAACTGGCTTCAATACACAACACTTTAGGAATGCAGATCTTCTAAACATTGAAGAGTCACATACTAATAGATAGGTAGCTGATAGCACAGTGCACAACACTATCAAAAGACTAGTTTTATGTCCTATAAAATTATAGGACATAAAACTTACTAGTTTTATGTCCTATAAATCTACCAGACTCTACCCCCTAAACACACCAACTAGTACCTAGTCCTAGTGACTGATTGCACTATTCTCATTTGATTCAGACCAATTTACCAATACTAAACGTTAACTGAACAACAACACTTAACACTTTGACTGTGACTCACAAAATAGCCTGTTCTCCTGTGGTGCGACTCATTCAAAATTGAATAACTTGAGTTACAGACAAGGCAGCGAGATCAGGGCTAGTGCGCTGCTCTTGTCTGAGCGAGCTCTACAAGCTTCTGACATAAAAACCGTGAGCCTCTATTGAGAAAATATGTCTCAACTGCAAATGTCTTTTGCTCTGTAGTCCAAGGCATCTCGAAGCTCACACGTGGTAGACTCTTAGATCAATCCGTCTTCTTAATGAATCTGAAACAAATAACAGGATTACTTGAGTATTGTGGAAATTATTCAACTTTTTATGAGCTCTGTTTTTTTTGTGTCACCCTGTATCATATCTATAAAGGAATAACAAGTAAAAATCACAAAACAGTCATTTATTCTATATGTATAAAGGAAGAGGAGGACTTTGGAGAACTGTTAGTAATGAATGAGTACACTCTGCATGCTTCAAACATTTGTAATTAAGTCCTATTTTGAGTGTCCCATATTACCCCTTTCCCAGGGGTAATTCAGGACGCTTTTCTGTATGACAACTTTATGAATAGCATATGGAATTATTTTGGAGATACCATACAACAGCCCTTGCAAAAATCTTTAAAATAGGCTCAAACTCGTTTATGAAATGTTTCATGGTGAGAAGTTATTTACAAAAAAAACTCTCAAAATCATCCCTTATTACCCCATTGCATGGTATAAATTAAAGATGAATAATTTATACAGCAATGAAAAGAGAAAAATTTGAATTTTTTCAACCTATTTAAATGTGGAATTGGGCAGTGGCAGCACCACAGCAGTAGGGTGGTGCTGTGAATGTTGGGTAGGATGCATAGGAAATGAAAATCATTCTCTACACTCCTGGCCACTAAGATTACCTGATCTAACATTCTCACCCATGTGACTATTACTCTTGGGGTTACGTCATAACATCAGGGATGCTGTTTTTGTCCCGCCTCTACCAGCAACTTGGTTGATCTGAAGAATCGTATCACTGGTACAGCGCTCTCAGTGAGAAAGATATGCTTTCTTGTGTTTGCTGGACAATTTTAGCTACCATTTAGATGTTTGCTGGGCTGCACAAGGACAAGGGTGACATATTAAGAATTTATAAATATATAAAAATTCAATGTTTCTCTTCCCATTGCTGCAAAAATTACTTTTTAAAATTAATTTTTGAATAAATAGAAATAAATTGGGACCATCATTTAAAATATCTCTTTATATTTTTTCAGTTTTTTAGGATTTATTTGAGTAGCATATAAAAAGTAATTTCAATGGGTGAGGAAAAGTCAACAATGTTCAAAAAAATCAAAAGCAAGTCCATCAGACAGAGAAGGTTCTCAGAAGATGAAGAATCTGATGATGAAGAAACATTAAGGTGAATAATTATTCTTTATCATAAAAAATCCTGAAATAGGGTCATCATATTCTTTTGTTTTCTATTGACTATTGGTTTTTAATATATATTTACTTTTAAATTTAATTCCGTTGAAATACATCTTATGGAAAAAATCCATTAGTAAATTCTTGAGGGTTTTGGTAAACTTATTTCATTAATGTATAATTCTTTTTTGTTTTAAGTTTGAAAATAGAAGAAAATAAACTTCTTCGGAAGTTGAAACAGCGGGTTGGTGGAGTAACGGCTGAGGCACTTCTGGCTGGCAGCAAAGACAAAGAGAAGAAGAAAGATGTAAGTATCTGAACTCACAATGTCAATAATGTTTCAATGGTACAAGTATTTGAAATTTATTGGTTCAATGAATCAAAACGTAGCTAAGATAGATGTAAAATTTACAACTTTATGTGTATAGGTCATCACATAGTATCTTAGCTCAGTGGTACGGCGTTTTATTATAGGGCCTGATGTCAATTACTCTGAATTTAGCCATGAACATCCAGAGCTGTATATAGTATTGTGGATAGACCTACGGTATTAAGTTTTAATGCACTTGTATAAGTTTCAACATGTTTAACGCTGGAGTAATTCATCAGGTTTCTAAAGTAAGTTTAGCCTAGAGTTGTCATCATAGAAAAATGTTGGGAAGACAAATAAATTATTTAAATGTCTTATATTTTTTTCAGTATTTTGTTAACTTTCAAATCAAAGAAATAAATTCCTAAAATAAATTTATGCTAACTTTACATAATTCTGAAATATATTCAACAATGTACCTAAATTAATGTGAGACAATGTAGCAATCATTAATCGAGATCAAAGATGTAATTTTCTGTTGTTTATAAATTTTATATTCTTCCTTTGCTTTTGAAGCTTGGTCCTAATAGGCATTCCAGCATAGTTATGAAACTGTAATGTTATCTGAATCAGAATTTTTTTGTTTACTAAATTAGACAACCATATATAGTGTTTGCTATAATACCGTATGTCACTATATTTAATGCGTTAGCTAAGCAGTTGATAGTAAAATATGTGTAATTTTTGGTAACACACCTACATTGCAATGAACAGTATTCAAATCCTGTTCAAGATAAAAGTTTTAATGTGTGCGTAATTTGTAATGTATTTGATTTGCTGTGTTCAATTGATGTGTCTATGAAATATTCAATTGACATTATTAATGAATATGTGTTAGCCATATCAGATAAAATAAAGTTCCAAAGCCATTAACATAAAGATCTACACTTGATTTTTTTCAACAGGATGACCCCTCAGGGGGGACTTCTGACGTGTGTCTGTGCTCGTCAGAAGTCCTATGGGATTTCGCGTTCCTATGGGGATTGTTCCTGAGCGCCCCACCGCTGAGCTCGCGGTGTCTGACTGCGGGTCTCAGTTGTGGGGTTAAGTTATTATGTAGGTAGGATTCCTTACATTTCCCTTCTCTGTCTCTCTCGTGCGGGCGGCCGACGTCCCATGTAAGCGACCTCTTGTTCGAGTGTCTTCGTTTCTGTTGCTTTTCACCTGCCCCTCCTTATCACTTCGTCTATTTGAGATGCTAACGCTGCTTCTTTCGAGCCAGCTTCAGCGGGCTGGACATATGAGACCTTCCGCCCCTTGTGGGTGATGAATAATTGAGACCTTCCACCTCTATGGTGATGTTCATCTTGACTTTCGGTGCGAGATAGCTAAATAGCTGAAGCGCTAGTAAACATTTGGCCACTAAACTAAACTAACTCAACAGGACGATCCTTACAAAACAAAGAAAGGTGGCATGGTGGACCTCAAAGATATCAAGAATGCTCCTAAAATGGACGACGCTTATGACACAGGCATCGGAACTGCTTTCTCTGCTGAGACCAACCGGAGGGATGAAGATGCTGAGATGTAAGTATTGGATTTTTTTCTTGTGTTGAATTAAAGCTATTATAATTTTCGATATCCACACAGAAGTTTCTGTACCTTCGCGGCTGCATCAATCTTTTTGTATGACATGGCTTTATTAGTTTTATTACAGAACCGTACAAACCTAGTGCAAATAAATGTTTAAAACAAGCAGGTAGAAGAAGTATCAAGTATATATGCATCTTCGGCTCGAATCATTTGAGTGGACCCAATAAATAAGCTAAGTCAGTTCACCGATTTTCAATAATTGTCCGTTTGTATGTAACATGAAGTCAGTTCTACTAGTCACGTTTATCGTCTTTGTGCAGGCAAAAATACATTGAAGAAAACCTTGCTAAGAGAAAAGGACAGCAAGATGGAGATCAAACAAACTCGGAAGAGAACCGCTATCTAACTCCCGAACAAGCTGCACTCAATGCTGTACCAGAGTTTTTAAGAAAGTCTTCATCAAAAACCAATGAAGAGATGTTGAGCAATCAAGTACGTAGTCAGTCGTCTATCATTGATCTTCCAACTGACTAGGCTTTAAAAATTTCATTAATTAGACATGTACATGATATACTTTCATGTTTATCTAGTAATAATATTCGTAGCAACAACTGTCAAAATCGATTCACTTAATCGGGATTGGAATCAATTTTTCCCACTCATCCAGCCCTTATATTGCTGGTTACATAACATTCTTAATCTAACGAGCATGCTATGCTCAAATATTTCATCGTCTGCAATGTAGAACTAATGACTGATCCTGTTAACTTTTGTTAATGGCAGATGCTGAGTGGTATTCCAGAAATAGACCTCGGGTTGGAGGCTAAAATTCGCAATATTGAAGCTACTGAAGAAACTAAGCAGAAATTATTGCGAGACTCCCTCAGAAAGAAAGACAAGCCCTCTGAATTTGTCCCTAAGAACATGGCAGTAAACTTCGTGCAACACAACAGATGTGAGTCAACATTAGCTTATTTTTTCGCAATAACTGATGAGATTTAGTTGATCCTCATCAAGTAATTTGTTGCATCAGTTTTTGCTTCCTTCGTTGATGTTTAGTAGATTGTTGCGATGATATTCAGACCTTGAATAAATAATACAAGGATTTGCTGAAGTACGAACACAAATTTTTGGTTATTACTACCATATTCCTGATGAAATTAGGATTAAAATAATATGCGTTTTAAAATTAATTTTTAAAGACAACACTTCTGACGAATCCAGTGTCTTTGATGTTACACATGTACCATGAATTTCTAATTTTATTGTCAAATATAAAAAATTTAATTTGAATTTTTTCTAATATATAACAGTTTTATGAATTTTCAAAATTATTTATTATGTCAACTGATTCATGCATTATCTCTGACTTTATGCAAGTGTGCAAAATTTCAAATCGTTTGGACAGGTCAAAGTGTGTCATATACGGATTATAAGATTTGTAGCAGACAAAATTATTTAAAAATTTTTTTAATATTAAATTTTTTTTTTTCAATTTTTAAAATTATTTATTCTGTCAATTGATTCATGCATTGTCTCCAACTTTGCGCAAGTGTGCGAAATTTCAGAGCGATTGGACAGGTAGAAGAGTGTCAAATATCGATTATAAGATTTGTAGCAGACAAACAAACAATCAAACAACGAAGTGAAGTTAAAGAGAAGTGTTGTAAAAAATACATGATGTTTCCGCTCAAGTAATTTCCAGATCTTATCGATTTTAACTAGTTTTCTTGAGACATAAAATAGAGTTGAGAGCAAAAATTTGATTCTGTAGACTACGTTTGATATGTGCTTGCTGTATTCCTTTGTTTCACAGTTAATATTGAGGAAGGCGGACCACAGAAAAAGAAAGAGAAGAAGGAAGAGAAGTTCGAGGAGGTGGTGGAGCCCGTGGTGGGTGGCGGTGTCAAGGTTTCTACTCTCGCACCGAAAAAGCCAACAGCGCAGAAAGCGACCGACGATTTCCATTATGAAAAATTTCGCAAGCAGTTTAGAAGACATTGATGCGAGTCGTGCTGCTGTATTTTTTTCCATATGTTATTACTACTTGATGGCTAGCTATACGTGTTGTAGCCCCTTTCAACATTCCAGATAAACGTGAGATTAGGAGTTACATTGTCATATGCGCTAACTCGTCTACTTGCGACCCTGGAAATCATTTTTTCTGTGATATAGTTCCTGAATTAAATTGGCGACCAGTAGGATTTGGTGATTGAATTTTGAATTCAATGTCATAAATGATAGATTTGATAGTACACTATGCAGAATTGAGAATGGCTTCGTTTACGATTACTGGCAATTATTATTCATACGGAAGAGGTAAATGTAAAGTAAATCTTGTGAGCATAAATTGTTACCATGAACACCGAGCGGAATAAATTTCGGAAACAGTATTGTAGGTTTAAATGAACAATAAAGCCGTGACTTCTTATGAAGTCGTACTTATGTACATGGCATTTTAGGCTACTTTTCAGGATCATTCATAGCTTGTATGTTATGAAAATTCTTATTTTCTCATATTAAAAGACGTCACTCTGCCTTGGAGGTTAAAGAAAAGAAAATTTTTGTTTCAATTTAACAATATTGAGTAGGAGTAGTAATAGCCACATGAACCTCGCTTGTAACCCATTCCGTTATAACTGACGACTAATATAAATCTTGTAAACGTTAATTTTTTAATGTTACTGAAGAAGCAACGGAAGTGTTCACAAATTTCTACCGGATGCATGATTTATTACGATTGATGATTAGATAAGATACATGAAGTCATGAAAAACTCGTAACCTTAGGCTGAAAGCTACAAGCGAATGAAAGATTGTATTTACCGTACCACTGCTCCATTACACATCTTCGAATCAGCAAAGAAAAGACCTTTTTGAAGAAAACTCCGTACGGTAAAAAGTAACGTAAAAATCATTCGTTATACTAACTTAGGCAGGCAGGTTTGAAGACTCGTTTCACGAGTTAATTTCCTATCACAATCCGCAACCCTCACGCGCTACCAGCACTCGTTTCTTCTTGCCAATATCCTATGCTGGGGAAGGATCATTTAATTTTAGCGACGATTGCTGCGTTGAGAAGCTTTGCCTGGGCGAGGGTTTGATCATGCTGCGCTAGCTCAGCGTGAGGGAATGTCGTCATGAGGGAGTAATTGAGGGAGGCGTACTCGGGCCGAGCCACGCTTAGGTACGTCCTCAGGTCACCGACCGTGTGGCTGTGGTTCGCGTGAATCACGAGTCTGCTCCCATCGTTGAGGCGCACCTGCCAATAAAAAACCGTCTGATTTTTGTAAATCTGAAAGAACTTTATACACAATTAAATTATTCATACTTTTGACAAGATCATATATCTATATCGAACAGAACCAAATAAACCAATATTAATCGTTGTAAACTACAAATAGTATTTAGGAGGTGTTTATTGCGTCTTGAAAGACAAAAATACGAAATAAAAAACTTATTAACAATACTGGGCACTCGCTGAGCAAAAACTTCCTATTTCAATATTATTGAGGTAAGGCACGCGCAGAACTAAAAAAATAGATCAGTACTCACTGCATTTAGTGACAGAGAGCGCATTTTCTCACGTACGTCCGTCCGTCAAGAACGGACGGACGGACATTACAAGCACAATAGCGACTTTTTTCCACAAATGAGAAAATGTGCTAAAAAGTACTATTATAAAAAAATGTTACAAAGTTTGTAACTCAGTCAGCCAGTCACTGAAGGCATTTCAAGCTAAACCAACCAATTACAGACGAGAAATCGCCTGCTACATGTAATATAGCCACCACGTGTACTAATAGGACTTTTGATTTGGGCGGAACACTCCTGAACAATGGTGAAGTAAGGCGGAGGCAATACCTGAACAATGGTGCAGCAAGGCGGGGGGCGATACCTGAACAATGGTGCAGTAAGGCGGGCGCAATACCTGAACAATGGTGCAGTAAGGCGGGCGCAATACCTGAACAATGGTGCGGTATGGCGGGGGCAATACCTGAACAATGGTGCAGTAAGGCGGGGCAATACCTGAACAATGGTGCAGTAAGGCGGGCGCAATACCTGAACAATGGTATACCTCAACAATGGTGCAGTAAGGCGGGGGCAATACCTGAACAATGGTGCGGTAAGGCGGGGCAGTACCTGAACAATGGTGTGGTAAGGCGGCGGCAATACCTGAACATTAGTGGTCGGCTGGGTGGCGTCAACGCTCAGCGCCTTTTTGGCATCCTCCTCAAGTTGTTTTGGGTCCCCTAAGGGCTTGTGGGTGCTGCCTCCAGGTCCTGGCACATGCGATACCTGCCCCATCACGGTCGGCGCTGGACTGAAGGTAAAAAAAATAAATATATCCTCAGACGAGTGTGCTAAATTAGACAATAAAACATATCACTTTCAAAAATTTCCCGATAACATAATTCTCCATGCGCAGGTGTTTCAAAGCAACTAAAATTTCTTGCTGCATACAGTTTCTTCTGTTCAATGCAAGATCAGTCAAATTATAACAGCCTTAGAAATTATTCGCCTTGAAACATTTGGCACAGAGAACACGGCTGTCAACATGAAATAGAACGCATCATCATCATTTCCCCTGTTAAGCTCATGTTGGCATCACCTCCTCAAGAAAACCAAATTTTAAACGCAGTGTAACTAATCGTTTTTTAATTTACAGTTTTCACCACTTCATTTCTTATCTCTCATTTCCTACGCTTTTAGTTACATAAGTTACCGTAGTATTTTCTTAGTAGGGGGTGACCCTAGGGAAAATGTATGCAGGCCACAATTAAGCAAGTAGGCAGTATATACCTGCCGAGTGCCTGCCCCTGTCCAGTGAAGGCTCTGAGGACGGGTTTAGGTGCAACGTAGTCCTCATGGTGGTGGTCTGACATGTTGATGGCGACCTCGCGACCTCCCGATGCCTTCAACAATTCAAGAGGAATATGCCTGCACATATATTGCATACATGCAATCAAGAATCATACACCCAATAAGTGGGGTGCTTTGTATTTAAAAGTAGTTGGTTAATTTGTGATAAATAATATCATGAGCAGAATGTCTCGTTGCAATTGTCTCACAATAACATTGCAGAATTTATAATAAAATAATTATTAGCATGACAGTGATATTGGCTGATGAAAGACGCACCCATTCTTGATATCCTTCAAAAAACGCCTGCTCTCATCATCATCGTATGACCTGAGTGGCCCATCACCAACTGTGAAGCCTGTGCGCCACATGCGCAGCTCAACGGGTTCAGGCCCCTGATTATTTCTGGAACTGCTTGCAGAGAACACTGCACAACCAAATAGTCATATTAGCAAAGGGGGTTTACAGCATTTGTTAGCTTGGAATTTGAAAGAGAAGGCAGTCATTATCTAGCAAGCTCATTAGGCCACAACTTTAAGCAGAGATTAGTGGAATGGTGCAAAAATAAAAGTCGATTGTATTTGAAGTAGTTATAAGATCCCTAAAATTTATACTTTTTTCACCTTTTCTTCAATTAGAATAAATACTAAAACTCACTCACTCACAATCAAAATTTAGAAATAATAATGCAGGAACAATTAGGTAAAATTCCTGTATTAAAGAAATGATTACTAACATACTAGGTATATGCTGAACATTTGGTCAAGATTCAAGATAAACTGATATATGTATTACTGATGAAATGAGCTTTTAGAAGGTGATGTATTGTGTATAATTTCAAACCTTGTGTGTCATCCATTGTTTCGCCCAATCTATAACTTGTGCCCTGGAAGTGAGTGCGTACAGACCTGGCGCCACTTCTGCTGTCCTCCACAACATCAGCCCCATGTCTGAATCACCGGAGGGTCATAATCTTAATGTTGAACAAGCACTTGCAGGAAGTCATGGAGCCACTATCATTATTTCACCAGAGCTATTTGAAAGTTTCAAAAACGATTGGATTTGAATTGAGAAACGAATTAGCATTGACAGAGGATAGCAACAAAAGCAGCACTCTAACTACCTATTTATCAGCTCTTTGAAGGTAACTTTTAATATATTTTCAGTAATAATTTCAGTTAATTTGAACATGGGGGCTGAACAGTAACCACTTGATGTGCAAGTACCACCATTTAAAACATACAATTCTAATTACTCATTTTTGATTGTTAGCATTTCATTGGTTTTGTATCAAGCTCTGCCTCATAATACCAGCCCAAAAAAATATTATTTATTACCTAATCCTATCAAACACTTGATAGTTTGATACTATGTCATATTCATCATCAATCACACACACATACTAACTCTTTGGCAGCTTTGAAAAGTTTGGCGACCATGTCGTGCTTCTTGCGAGGTGGGCCCAGAACCTGCTGGCCTGAATGCTCTGAACCTCCAGCATAGAATGCCTGGCCATGACTGTCTTCATCATCTTCATCACTGTTGTCAGAGTTGGATGACCAGCCTCCTGATGCAGGCTTCAGCCTATTTTTCATCATAAATAAATAATTAAATGCAAGAGAAAACAATCATTCCAAAATTGCAAGGCTAATAAACCCCCCCCCAAAAAAAAAAAACAAGAAAAAGGGAACACATTTAGGCAGCTAATAAGTTTTAATTGGTTTTCATTCAACACATTGAATTATACTGGTACTCAAGGTACATAAATTTGGTAATATTTATGATCATATAAAATAAAAGCATATCAAGAGTGCACCACATGTGCTTTGCTAGGCCCACAGCTCTTATGTACTTGGGTTCAGCGGTGCTGGCTGGCTTTTTGAATGCTGCACCCCCAACAGCTGAAGGCAGAGCACTACTAGCACTGTCCCTCCCTGCAGCACCATCTTCTTCACCAGTTTCCTCAAAGAAACTACTCAAAGCTGTCTGTCAGAAAAGAAAAATAAATCCATCTTTCACTTGGTTGCTGTAAGCAATGTTCATAAAAAATTATAAAAAGATCCAATTCATGATTCATAGTCTACAGTTTCATAGTATGAGAAAGTACCTATCAATGCTAATTTTGGTTTGTACCAAGATCCAACTCTGCTCAAATAGCCCTACCATTGGCTTCAACATCTCTAGGAAACAATTGAATAGAATTCATTAAATTCTTTCAAGCTTTCTTTCAAAATTGTAAGTTGATTCATCTCATATTAAGGGGAGCGTTGATATCCAAAATCGACAATTTTTACTTTTCCTGTTTTTAGTCTCATCTTAAAGCTGACATTCTGACCTATCCAACAGTACAAAAACCATCTCTGTACATTGATTTATGCGTTCACGACAGATCGCAAAAGTGTAAAGGTTGGTGGAGTACTTTAACATTCAACATAGGGAGTAAATGCCTCAGTGCACCTTAAATAACTAGTCTTCACACTCTCTGATCCAGTAACCTTTCAACAGTTGCAAGGGCGGATGGTTATTGCTCTGTTATTCCCACCATCCTTGACAGAGATTTAGCTCCAGTATTGTCAGGTCTTGCATCCTTGCATCCTTGCAACCTTGAACGCCTATTTCAAGGCGCCCGGGACTTTGTTGAGCTCTGCTGAACAATCACACTTATTGTCACTGGAAAACTATCTCCTCCAACAGTTTTGAATCTACAGCAATGAGAGCTATATGTACCATTCGATTCACAAATGAAAGATCTAGAGATTGGTTGAAGCTTTTTTTCAATTTCATTAAAGTTTTGAAAATATTTTGAAAAAATGGAGGAAAAAAAGGGGAGAAAAATGGGGAAATCAAAAAATTTTCTAAAATTTTACAAAAATGTCCCCCACACCAGCAAAAATTTGAATTTCAAAAAAAGCTACAATGAATCAATTTACATGGTCCTTACGCATCAAATGATATGCGTCTTGATGTTGTAGCTTCAAAATCCTAGAAGGAGATAGATTTCTATAGTACACCCTTTTTGCCATTTCTAAGAATTTCACATTTTCCTTCATTTTTTTCAAAAAATTGACACAAACAAAAAAGTCTTAGAATTCTGTTTACATAGATGTACCAAGTTTCAAAGTGACCCATCTGTAAATAAAAAAGTTTTTTCACCACATAGACGCTCCCCTTAAATAGAGTCTACTGTGTTGCAATTTGTTGAAAACAATTTTTGAGTTGTGATTTAGAATTGAAGTCTGAGACTCTGAGCTCAAGAGAGATGCTGTTTTCAGGAAATAATGAAATTAAACCAAAAAATAGAGCCTAAACAATCATTAGGCCTATTCCATAACAATAAGTGTAATTTTCAGATTTCAGAGACAAAATTCTTAGCAACAGGATTCTCTCATCCTTAATGCCAATTTTTAAAACTAATTCAACTTAATTATTATCTTATATAATAATGAGATGCCTTTTTTAATTTCAGGCAGTTTAGCAGCAAAATTCTTGTAAACTCACAATGACCAAACTAATGAACAAAAACTCCCTTTGCTTCTAGAGGGTAGAAGGAGGTTTTTAATTTCATTGAATAGATCATGTTTTACAAGAAAATTAAGCTGGAATAAATATACATAATTTTAAACAGAGTTAAGTATACGAGTTTGTCAGTTGCTACATGGAATAACCTCTAACTAGGCAAGTATGGAATTTTTCTACTCATTACTGATGAATGTCAGCTCTAAAGTGACATGCTATCCAAAAATTTAGTAGGGTAAATGCGGTATATTCCGACATCGTAGGTAATTCCGTCACTTCTCTAGTTTTTCCTTTATATTAAGCTTTGTTTTTATTTCCATGTGTTCATTGATGGTTGAAATGGTGACGTCATACATTTGCGTGTTGAAATACTGCGAAAACACTAGGTCTTGGCCATCTAGTGGGAAAATATTGAGATCCAAAGAGAGACAATGCATGCCACGTGGTGAGATCATCGAAAAATGTGTCAAATTTGACAGTTGACATGGCTCTACCAAATAGTGAATAACTGTTTTTATAGGAAGAATATTATGGTTTGAGACTTTTAAATACGTCTGTGAATATATTAGGAATCCTTTAAGTATACTTGTATTCGCTGATTTCAAGTCGTAAATAAATTAATAGATGATTAAGTTGATTGATGGATTTAGACCCATCAAAACTAATTCCAACACAACTTGAATTGGACACACACAGATCATTCCAAGCTTTGTACAAAAATTGAAATTTGCTTAATTGAAAGCGGAAAAGCCTAATAGCTGTTAATTAAAACGTAATTAAGTAGTGTTCAATATTCGTTAGTGTTCTAATTCAAAGCCGTGTTGTATCCCAATACAGCTCACACAGCAATCGGAATTCGAATACGTTGATGTCGGCATCACGTATCAGTTAAATTTGAAGCGCTGACGCAATACAACTCACCACGTGTCGAATATTGCCACACACAGTGACGGAATAAAGGGATTTGGTAGGTTTCCATTCTAAAGGCTTTTTAATAAATATGGTAACATTTTGTGACGTTTCATCATTGCTGACGCGTAGTGAAGCGTTTTGAGAGTCACATGAACTGATGAAGGCAACAGAACTTACGTAACGCATACGGTTTTTTTTTTATAGTTTTTCATTTTTCGATGCGTCCTTAATGTGTCGGAATATACCGCGTTTACCCTATCTTGTGTCCTGACCATGCACGCTTGCCTTAAATAAGAAGGAATAATTAGATATGAAGTGGTTCATCAAACAGGAATATTTTGGTTCAAAAAATTGCAGGTATGCTCCAGCCTCCAGACACAGCTGGGATACATTCCACATCAGTATCTAGCAAAAATTTATAGGGAAGGGTTTAATTGTAACAATGTAACATACTACCCAAATCCAATGGCAATGAGCTTTTTTTGATTCCATTAGAGAGTTGTGACTTGTGACTTCAACTGACTTGTAATTCAGTTTTGTTACCATAACAAAGTTTCTTAAAGAGGCTGGCAAGTGACAACATAATTACAAAGATTAGGTCTAAGCAAACGACTGAGTCGACAGTCGACAGGTATTCAGATTTCAGTGCAAGGCAATGGTATTAATGGTGAATTTGTAAAATCTAGATTATCTGGCATAATTTACCAAAACTTTCAGGTAAAAAAGTTGTTTTAAAAAGGAATTGGAAAAAAATAGGTACAAACAAATAGGCTATATGGAATTTTTATTCATTTTATAGAAAAAATTGCACCTTAGGCTTAGTTGTACTGTTGAGCTGTTGTACGGTTGTACCTAGCATTGAAATTGTTAGAATTGCAGGAAAGCACATCTTACAGTTATACAGGCTTAAAGGCATTCTTTATCATTCATGGATCATTGATGGATGATGGATGGTTTCTGCTCAATCTTCTACCGGTACTTCTAATATTGTGTAATGTGTATTACTTAGGTAGGTACTTAGTTACTGCCAATGATGAACGGGCACTGGCAGTCAAAAAATCAAGTGATTGAAACTTTTCATTCCATTAGGCCTAGGCCTACTTTGTAAAAGTAAATTGTACAAATAAACCTATTAATTTGGTAGTACTCACAGACAGATTCCATTCAGCCGATTCCAAGAAAAATTTTGCTCGATCTGCATCAGCCCCAGACACAGCACTAAACTGTTGAATCAATTCATCGTGGTCGGACATGACAAATTAGCGGAGAAAAATAATATCTAAAGTAGAGAGCCACAAAAGTTTAACTGTTAGACTATACCAGAGACAGACTCTACAACAGTACTGACGTAAGGCTTATACTTTATAGTTATATATACTACCGCGTTGACTACCGCAACATGATTTGACGTTCCGTGATCCGTTTCAGAGAATTCAGTGACAATGAGATGGTGTTGCCACGGTAACAGTGAATTTTCTCTTTATTTATCTCATAATAGATTGATAGGTTAGGTAAATGATGAATTCAGAAAAAAACAGCGTAATTTTGAGAGGTGAGCTTTATTTTTTTTTCAATCCTTCTCCATGCAAATTGAATAAATAAATGAATCAGATGAGAATTTTGTCTTGAGTAACGAAGATGGTTCATAGACATGGATGAAGAAAATCCATTCAAATTACTAGTATTTTAAGCTCCTTTTTAACAATTAAAGAATAATTCAATAAACGCTAGCTACTTGATTAAGCAATTGGCATATCAACTCACGGAATCAACTTCTTGAAATAACAAGTATGTTGAACCAGTGGTTCCCAAAGTGGGCGATATCGCCCCCCTGGGGGCGGTGGAAAGGTTTTGGGGGGCGGTAAGGAAGAAGAGGGCGTTCGGGGGGGAGCGCAGCCGTGCACCACCAAATTTGTGCACCAATAAGCCCTGAATCGAACGCCTTGGATCTCTCCGGACATCCACCAATCAGCCGTGCACCACTCGACTTTATCCTCCTCCGTCCTTGACCACCACCTGCCGTGCACCACCAGACCGCGGATCGAATCTGACTTGCGGGCATCGTTAAATTACGTAATTTTGCGTTCACCGCATCTGAGGTTAGGTTTCAGATAGCATAGTTCTGTTCCAAAATTTATCGTCCTTCGACAAGTGACCGTTCGACCGAGGGCTGGTTCGACCCACGGCCTAGATACGGACGGCTTGAAGTGTTGAAGGCTACGTTCCGGAAGGCAGGAATCATGATGGTCCATTACATCCAGGGCAGTGGTGGTCTTCGGCAGGCGACCCGTTCGGGGGGCGGTAGTCCGAAGTCGAAGTCAGAAGTTCAATGTTTGTTTGACGATTTGTACACAACACGTGCAGCACATCATGACTCCCAGCGATGGTTTTTTCACCCAGATCTGTTTTTTCAACTTCTCAAAGAATGACTGTGAAATGAAAAAAAAACTCGCAAACGAAGGCAAAATCGAAAAATTTTTAAAGCCAAAAAAATCAACGCTAGGTTGTTAGGAATGTATATTCAAAATTTCGTTCAAATCTGTTCAGTATAGTTTGGAAGAAATTCTTTGATCACTGCGAATTTCGGCCTTTATCGCAATATAACTCACAAATGAAGGTGAAATTTAAAATTTTTTACAAGCTAAAAATCAACGTTAGGTTTTGATGAATATATGTTCCAAGTTTCTTTGGGCTACGTTCATTAGTTTGGGATATATTACTTGATAATTGAATTTGGAGATTGGTCGTGCGACTGACCACGAGTCCGGCCGTGAATTTGCCCGAGACGTCCTAGGTTTCTAGTGCTGAAACAGTTAAAACAGCTTAAAAACATATTGGTTCACTAAATGGGGTTCTATTTGTGAAATACACATTTGTGTTTAACATTTATCTTCTAAAATTGCAGCGTACTAAATTTCAAGAAAGAGGCATATGTTTTATATGTGTTTGTGGGGGGCGCTAGAAGTTCACTAGGGAGCCAAAGGAGGCGCCGGCTTGAAAAAGTTTGGGAACCACTGTGTTGAACATACAACATAGGACATTCTTACCCTATAAGCATTCAATAAAACTGAAACTTATTTTCGATTGTTTCTAATTAAATTAGCCAGGCAGACGACATTTGATACAACCTGCGACGTTAGAAATGAAGTCTAGGAATAAATACTAAGTAGCTAGAGTGCAATGCGATTGAAAACAAGCAGGATTGATTTAAAAACAAATGCAAAGATGATGACTCAATAAATCCTCGCTGGACCACAGAGGAAGGGATTTCCAAAGAAAATATTTCACCATTCAATTTTCAATCGAAAAGACGTCCTCTGTCGTTGAAAAATATTTGGAATTTCAACATTTTTCGACCTCTATGCAGGCACGGCGATTTAAACAGTCTTGAACAAAATTCATCTAAAATCATTAGAGGAATTAAAATTTTCGCGGAGCTTCTGAATGAGAGAGGTGTATTTTTTCAATAAATCGTTAACGCAGATATTTCCTTCTTAAGAAAAACGAAAATGAGTGACGAGGAAACGAGTTAGTACAACTGATAAAAGGACAAGAGAAAGAAACTCAAATCAAGAGTAGTGAAGGAAGAAAGAAAGAACACAAAAGAGTTGACAATGAATTTACACTTTGTACATTCACCTATAGTCATTATGTACATAGCGTTCTTATAATTACCACTCTGAGCAAAACTTAGAAATGCTTAAATATACTGGAATTTGACAATCGAGGTCCAACTCTCAAGGTTCGGTCTAATCGAGGTTTTTTGTAGAGATTTTGAGAGGGCGATGCAGTATTACTGGCTGGCCGTTTTTTATACATGTTTCTTTCCTCAGCAATGGCACAGTCGTTGGATTTAATCGATCCATGTCTTTGTCGGTGAGCTTCTTCCGCCGTTACGGAGTGGAAGATGAAACTGCCACCGGCGTTCGCTGTGGCGGCGACGTTCCGTGAACCGTCGTTGCGTTCTTTGATCAGCGAGGCAAGACGTGCGAGTTTTGATGCGCCGCGAGACAAGAATGACCCACACTGTAAAATTCGAATTAAATAAGTTAATATTAAAGTAAGTTTTCAATGAGAACATGTTTCCAACCCATACCTGACAACTAAGTTTAGAGGGAGTGAGAAGAGCTAAGTCCTTCCAAGAAGCTTTAAGAAAGTGTGCAACTAGGCGAACTGAAAGCTCAACCTACGGCACAGAAAAAAAAATTCACGGCGGCAAATATAGTCGAGTTTTAAATTCTCAAATAGTTGTTCAGGCTCAAAAAAGGAGCATGGTAAAGTGATGAAACAATGTGGCAACAAGACAATTCTGAATACAAAACATGAAAAGCGAAAGTCAATGTAAATATACATTAATTACAATTGTGAGTATATTTTTTCATAATTTCCTTAAATTAATACCAACATCAGTATGTCCAACAAATAATCAAAGTTGCATGTACACAGGGACTTAACATATTAAATCTCTACTACATTCACGGAAGAATTTGATTAATGAAAAGACGAAAAGAACAACATATTGATTGATAAATATAATTTCTCCATCGTTGTTATCCCGTTGACAGCAAGCAACCAACTCACTTTAGTCAACTGTCCGGGTAGCGAGCTCTGACGAGCCAGGATTAGTGGATTGCTAGAAATCGAGGTCGAGTTTAAACCTTCAGGATTAGCGGGCATCAGGGGTTTCTTTCCAGCGCCGTTCGTGGCGGAATTCTCAACGGCAGCTTTGCTGAGCAAGCGAGTCTTTGAGATGACAGGAATAGAGGTCGTCTTTAGGAGACCAGAAGCTGCAGTTAACCCGAGAGTCAAATCAGCATCGTCATCTTCACCCTGTAGAATATACAGGATACTATGACCAATAAATGTTAAAAATGTTCCAATAGGAGAATAAATCTAGGTATCAAATGAAGGTCTCCATATATAGCTTCACTTTCATATTACCGAGATAAATGACAATAAAATCGAGAAACTTCAATAAATCCCAACAATTATCAATGGACTCTCGCAAAACATTCCTCTATGTACACCAGCCTATCCACGAAACCGAGTTTAAAAAATGGCAACACAACTCACAGTTTCATTTTTCTTATTCATGAAAAGTTCCCTCTCATGGCGCTCCTTGCGCCACTGAGAAGACTCCTCGTCATCTTCAGCATCTGCTTCATCAGAGTCGTCAGCTCTGGGACCGTCGTCTCCCTCATCATCATTCAAGTTCTTCCATCTAGCGTGATATAGAATCGATATAAATTCATGTTTAAAAAACCAGTAACCTTTACTTTGATGGCCCCTGAAATTATGTGTACGGAAATTCTCATGAATTAGCCATTTCAGTCACACACAAGCCATTTTTTTTGTTTCCATCACAGAAATTAGAACGTATTCATTATTATTTATTCCAACAGACAGCGTTATAGTGACGTATTCGAAATGACGATAATATTGGCACTATCTATTTTACTTATTCGATATAAAATGGACAAGCTAATCTTCATTCAGAACAGTAAAGCTTTCATTACCAAAACGAAAAAAAAAATAAAAAAAAAATAAAACAAAGAAATTTTCACAAATAATATAAATAGAAGGTAAGCGAGCAAGAAGCAAAACCTGAAAGTGCGTTGTCGGCCCTCGCCATGCAGGTCACCGTCCTCAAGGTAGAGCTCCTGCAGGAGACGCACCTCCCGCTGGTCACGCGCCAGCTCCCCACGCACATGTGTCTGTCCGATCTGTGGCGATAACACGAGGCATCAGCCTGCTAGCTTACGAGGCCTCAACTTGCGAACTTATGAGTCCTAACTGATGCGCCGTTGATTACCAGCGCCGTGAAGCTAAGCGGATCAATACAACTGACAACTCAGATACAAAGTTGTCAAGAAGTTATCACTACCGGTAACTGACAACAAAGTTGTCAAGAAGTTATCCCAACTGGTAACTGACAACAAACAAAAAGTTCACCTGCTCCCTGAGCTGCTCTTCATCAAAGTGCTCCTTGTCTCCCTCCTCTTCGTCCATGAGGTCGTCGTCTTCTTGCTCCTCCTCATCACTTTCCACCTCAGATCCCGACAACTCTGCTTCATTTTCCAGGAAATCTGCTCTAATGCCCCTACAAATATAAAGACGAATTAGAAAACAAAACATCGTTAATGAAAAGAAAGTCATCTGATAGACGCAGTACGGATAGGAAGTAAAAGATAATTCAGACATTGAGAAATGTGAGAAATTTACACCATCAGTGTTATAAACATAAATGATAACATAGCGTAAAAGTTAGCCGAGTAACTCAAAATAAAATACTTGCAAATCTTTTATCGATAAATAAAGCCTGAATAATGTATGCAGTCCTCTATGATTATTCAAGCAAAACGTACCCTTTCTCCCTGTCTTTGAAGGCGGGGAATTTAACAGGGACCTCATTTTCATCATCATCATACAGGATAACTTTCCCTTGTTGTTCCAAGTCTCCTTCTTCTTCATCGTCACTGGCGTCCTTTGCTTCAGTAATAATCTGGCCGCTTTCTTCAACTAAATCTTCCTCGTCGTCATCTCCATCTGATAGATTTATTAGGTTTTTTAGTAATCGGGAACTTCTCATTGAATATTAAATTCTAATAAAATTATATAATCACAAAAGAAAAACTCGCAAAAAGTCGATCCTTCCAACAAAAGCTTTATTGAAGCAGATAAAAAATCCATCAACAGGTTAACGTCGTCGAGTGTCCACTTCAATAAAGCAGCCAGTTTTTTTATACTCAAGGAGGCTTAGAGACACAGTAATCATTGCAATGAAAATTATTTTGAATAGGGAGTTCAAATAGCTTTAAGTAGAAGGTTCTTACCATCCAAGAGCACGATTCTACGTCGTTTCTTCCTCGACACATCAACCTCATTCCCGTCATCTGATTCGACTTTATCTGCACTCAAACTTTCCAAGTCACTATTCGATTCGTCATTTACCATTATCTTCTCATGCTCATTGTTCTGGCTAAGACTCTGTTGTTTTGTTTCATTTGCGGAAGAAATAATTTCGGGCATGTCAGGCGCAGTTAAGCTCAGCAAGACAGTCTTTGTCTGAGCCGAGCCAGCAGAAGCAGTGGAGCCAAGTTGTCGATTTCCTCCATCGTCATCGTGAGTTCTCTTCTTAGGCGGAGCACGAGTGAAGAAATTTGTTAGTTTGGCTTGACCGGCTGGCACAGGAGCTTTGTTTGCCGCTTTTTTCTTTTGGGATACCAATCTGGAGAAGAATAAACAATGAATCAATGTCGTTTGACCAGATAATTTCATTCTGCTTTAAAAACAATTGTGTAATAATGTAACTTATAAATTGATGTTTACTGAACAAATAGAATAAAACTTGCTTCATTCAAACGACTTGGTTCTTTTCAGTGCCACTGACAATAACAATAGATTACTCCCCATTGATTATAAACATCTCGTTAAAGAAATCATAAAATGGAAGAGAAACAGTTTTTACTTACTCGGTGAAATCGCCTGAGCAAAGATCAAGCAGTTCATCTTGCTCAGGTCCTAGGGGAGAGGTTATGGAGGCAGAAAGGCCTATTTGTGTCTGTGAATCTTGCGCCAGCACTACAGTGTCTTCAAAGGCACTGCGGTGTGAAGGACTTGTAACCAATTGTGAGCCGAGGGCTAATTCTCCAGTGGAGGGAATATTGACTGGCAGGGAGAAGGGCACGTCAGGGAGAGTCAGTGGAGGAGGCTCATCAGACAGGGTCAGAGGAATGGCAGGAGGGCTGCAGGAAATGGCATCAGTGAACTGACCGGTGCACAGTTCCATCAGACTGCCTATGTCGTTTGTGCCATCATCTCTCTCGGTAGATTCAATAGTGGCACCTGCACATCACGAACATCATATGTGAGATTCTAGTGTTCAAATGAAATTAAAATATAATTATTCTATTCATTATAAACAATAAGGAGAATCAGCAAATAACTACCTCAAGGATTTTCATGATGTTTAAAAACTAAAACAACGTCTTTCAAGAATGACATTTTCCATATCGTTTTCCATTATTACGTTTTTTATTGCCAATAATTAAACTTACAAAAAAATTACTCAACCCACCTGTGAAGCGACCAGATAGCAAGTCAGGAAGCTCGCCGTCATTGCGCGGCTCCTGCGAGCCAGTTAAGCCTCGAAAGTCCAGCCTCAGCTCCTGGCTTGTGGAAAAGTTTCCCCGAGTCACGTCCTTCTCAGCAGTCGCGTCAATGCCATCGTAATCAGCCAAGGGCAACAGTGTCGATGAAGGGAACCGAGCATTGCTGGCTTTGCTGCTGCTGTTGTCACCGGCGCACCACAAATCCGTGCTGCTGAAGTCCAGACCCAAGCCGAGGCCCAAGCTTCCGCGCTATATAATACGAAACATTTTAATTAATTGTTCACAGCATCAAATAAAGTTAACGCCACACAAAAATATCTAATAGTAACCACAAACGGTGTGACAGACATCATAACTGGTGATGAGGTATCCCTTCAGGATAATCAAGAAAGCTCGTTTTCAAGCTCTAATTGTGCGGCGATGGGTCACGTTCTGTCGGATCCATGTACTTAGGAATGAACAAATCCTCCAATCTAAACATATATCCCGATTAGCGTAATCATGTCATAATCCTATCAATATTAATGATCACCATGAATTTTATATTCAAGTTGATAATTTAGGTGGCAATCAAACAACATATAATCGTGAAATTTTTTGTGAATGCAGCCTAGCACTTGAAGAGGCAGAAGCTGACCTCGGAGGAGTTTGGTTGGAGGTCGGCCTGGTGGGCTGGGCGGCGGGTGCGGACGGGCTGGTGGGCAGGCAGACATGATCCTTGCAGCTCCAGGCTGCTGCTGTCGTCCAGGGAGCAGCACATGCCATCGATGCTCTCGCCTACACAGAAGAAAAACAATCATTACCCCCATTAGGAATCACCACCATTGTGTACTCACATCATTTATTGGCAATTTTACTGTCTCATTTCATATAGAACCAGAGATAATATCAAAGTATAAAGAGCAGTGAGCTAATAACTTAAATATAAGAAGAACGTTTGTTACCGTTCTTCCACAAAGGTAGTACCTATCAATGACTTACGTTGATTATGTGAACTGTTAGGAGACTTTTTATTGGGTGATGAGATGGGCTGCGTATCTGGCAAGTCATCATCAGCAACAGTCTGGGATGTTTCAATTGTTTTGGATAGATTGTCATTGACAGCCATCGTGTCATCGTGACATTCAGAGTACTCTTTAAGATCAACCTGAACTGGGGATTTAGATGGTCCATCCCCTACTGTACCGTCCATTTCGTCAGAATTGCCTTCTTCCTCATCACTGTCCAGTAGCAAGGCTTTTCTTCTGCTCTCATTTTTGGATTTCTTAGAGGGCTTTCTCACCATCACAACCTCCCTGCAAAGGCAAAGTTCAACAGTTTGTAGAAACAATGCCGATTCAAATTTAAAATTAAATTCTCCAATCAAGAATTTCATGGAGAAACTGAATTTCGTAAACCATTTAGTTCAAATATGACAAAATAAGCAACAACTATGAATACATTTCCACAACATTAACTCACTCGTCCGAATCACTGCACTCATTATTACTATCATAATCATCCATGCGGTCGTCTTCACCGTCAATACCGGCAGCCTCATCCATTATTTCTTCGTCTTCATCCACTTCAGCCTCATCCTCGAGAAACTTGCTCTTAGTTCTGGGCTTGTCGGTCATGTCAACGTCGTCCTCCAACTCGGGCTCGGACTCGCCTTCCGAGGACTCGGTGAGCTCTGCTTCCTCTTCATCATCGGGCAGAGCAAATGGATCCTCCACTTCAAACATAGACCAAAGATTAGCACGCAAGCAACAACCACCAAGTAAACATATCAACTTCAAGCACAGACTGAAGATTAGCACGCAAGCAACAACCACCAAGTAAACAGATCATCACAGACTAAAGATTAGCACGCAAGCAACAACCACCAAGTAAACATATCAACTTCAAGCACAGACTGAAGATTAGCACGCAAGCAACAACCACCAAGTAAACAGATCATCACCTTCAAGCACAGACTAAAGATTAGCACGCAAGCAATAACAAGCAATTAAACAGATTACCAACTTCAAGCACAAACTATTATTATCACCAGGTAAATGCCAGAAAAAATGGTAACAAATTTAACTCCGTCAGCCAATCAATGACGGCTTTGAACTCACCTATTACAGGCAAGAAATCAGCCACTATGTGTACTACTCAAATGAATTCTAATAGTACATGTCCTAGAAATGAGCAGCAACAAGCATTTGCGGAAGGGCTAGTGGTGCATTTGAGCAATACTTCATTATATGACGTCTAATAAGTGTGATTTTTCTAATAAAATTTTCTGGTATGTATATAACAGAAAATGTTCATTTTCGATATATCAAAGGATTTCATGATCTGATAACATTTTCAATTACAAGATGGCTAGTAACCAACAATGTTTGAGGAGACGTTAAACATGACAAGCTATTTATCAATCAGGACAAATAAAATAATACGATTAAATAACTCACACTTTTGGACTTCTTCAGTTTCCAAGAAATCTTTTTGCATTTGCTTTTCCCGTGTGGCGCGGGCTCGCCGCTCCGTCATTTTCGCACGCAGACTGTCTTTGAGAAACTGAAGTTTTGCCCCTGGAGTCGTGCATTGCGCCAACTGTTGGATAAATCAAATGGCTATAGAGGCATTCATATTTAAATACCGTACTCAACATTACCACAAAAAAATTTATTTCAAGTTACCTAAATGATACACAAGCAACTTACTGGGCTATCTGGTTCACCCTCAAGGTTGACAAGAACAGAAGACATCACCAGCTGCTCGTTCCCTTGGCTGTCCTTTTCTTTGCTCACTACTCTGTGTAGATCATGTAAAAATAACCTCGATTTACATGTTGTCAAATCATTCAAGTGAAGTAAAATAACAAAAAATATTTCAAATTTTAGATATCTTTAGTAAACATCAATTTAAACGATTTGTTTCAAATCATAAAGGAAAATTCGAAGATATTTAGAGATACAATAAAATAAATTTTGCATAGATTCATGCAGGACAATGTCACAATGCTTTGTGAAACAATGCAACCAATACTCACCCCAAACTGACTTGCTCGGGCTTCTTGCGGCAAAGTTTCGAAGCAGAATGCAAGGCAAATCTGTTCTTTAAATCCACCAAGCCAGGGTCGGGAGGAGCTGGAGAAGCAAAATCAGTATCCAGATCAATCATCCCAAGGTGCTTAGAGCCAGGAGTGAGACGGGGAGTTGTACTGATACTTAAGGGAAGGGGAGCGCCCAGTTTAGCAGCTAAACGACTCAACTTAGGAGGAAGGGCTGTAGGTGTTGATTGAGGCTGCAAAATTCCTTCATCTGAGTTTAAAGTTCCATTTCTGGATATCACACCTTCTTGAAGCGGGCGTTGAAGATGCAATGAAACTGAAGAATGTTTTGAAATTTGAAGGCTATCATCCTGTTCATTGGTTTCGTTTGTACTGTCATTTATTTCATCTTCCGGTCCTTCTTCCAGCAGCAGTTCAGGCATATCTTCATCCAGAAGGTCCTGAGTCTCCAGCCTGGAGCCTCGGCCCGCAGCTGGTGGACTGACTTCTTCATTCATATTTGTCAAAAATTCGTCTCTATCATCCTCTTGTTCGCGTGTCTGTTCATTGAAAGGACGTACATTGTTCGGGAAATGAGTGATTGACGAGGCAGTCAAGTTTGAGCTTTCAGAAAGGGGACATTCTGAAACTGCAGGCAATTGTTCTAAAGTTTCAGATGATGAATCCTTCAGCTGTACTGGCTTTAATAAGTTATTCTCCTCGAGGTCGTACATAGGAATATATTCATTAATGACTGTGTCGAGGTCAGTTGATAAATCATTAGATAATGATTCTTTTGAAGACAGTGCAGGCAAATCATCAATGTCAGGAAGAGGCTTCACTGATGTAGCTTCCATTTCATCCTCAGATACAGACGGATCTTCAGCAGAGACAATGTTGTTCACAGGTGAGCAAACAATACTAACCGTTTTCTCCTCAGTGGATGGGGCAATGATACATTTGGTCAACTGTTCTTTACCATGCTCCTCGGTCTCCTCTCGATTCGGTTTCCATTCTTCATCTGAATTCTCAGCCTCAGATTCTGACTTATAGAACTCAACAGCTTCTTTCTTGCGCACCTCAATTTGCCTAAAATAAATGATCCATCAGCCAAATAATCTACTCAAGTTAAACAAATATAATGCAGGAACCATGTGAGAAGTAGTTGAAAACTTCACTGTTGCAATTAGGAGTTTCAATTCAAATGGAAAATTCTATAGCACATCAAGAACACGACATACCTCAGAACTTGCATATTCTTCATGCTCATCTTAAGGCCACAGCGTCCAACTGGCAGAGGAATGATCTCATTTTTCTTTCTGAATTAATCACGAGAACAAATAATTGGAAAAAGCAGAGAATATAAGCAACAGACGAGATTTCTTATGAGAAAGAAGATTCCTTTCTAGGTAATATCTCAAATTTTTAGCTTGAAAGCTTTCATAAATTAAGGTCATTTATTTTAATGTTAACTATGCAAACAAATGGAAGAAATGTGGAGAAAGGATTGAGATTTAATTATTGAAAATGTTCACTGTATGCACGAGGCAGGTCTATATGAAAATATGAATCAAACTAGTAATGTTAATCTGAATACAAGATGAAAGGAAATGGAACCTGCTGAGAAACTCCTGGAGTGAGCGCTGCTTGGGTCTATGGTAAGGTAAACTGATGGGGCCCTCACGGACCCTGCGTTGACTCTCACTGCGGATGGTGGCCAGCTCCTTCCCACGCTCAGCTCTAATGACGCTCTCAGACACCTTATCAAAATAAAAACATGGTTAACTCATCAATAACAAAATGATTCAAAATAATCCAAGAAGTGCTTAATTATAATATAGATAACTCTAAATTACAATTTGAAGTGATTTTCATCATACATATTGGCTCTTGTTCAACAAGTAAATTCAATTAATGAATAACCTGAAAAATTCAAAAACAAAGTAGTACCTTCTTTGGCTTTGAAGCTTTATTCTCTTCTTTGCAAAGAACATTTTTTGCAATAGAAAGAATTCTTTCTTCTTCGAGTTCATCATCAGATTTGCAGTGCTGTGATGGCAAAGACAAACTGCTCAGTTGATCAGTTGAGTGCTGTTCATCATCTGATGAATCTTCCACATCAAAAATGGCTCTATTGTAATGGTACCGCTGCACAACAATAAAAAATAAGATTACTTTACATCATGAGTTTTCTTAAATGAATCTCACAAATAATAAAATATTGCAACTTTGTCCATGCCTTTCTTGGTAGAACTTACTTCAGATGCAGGTTTTGAAATAATGGAGGGCTCTGATGATTCTGGTTCATCGTTGTTATCATTGTTGTCATCACTGTTATCATTGTTGTCATCATTGTTGTCATCACTGTTGTCATCATTGTTGTCATCATTGCTGTCATCACTGTTGTCATCACTGTTGTCATCATTGTTGTCATCACTGTCAGAAGCAACAGGCTGCATAATTCTCCTAGCTACAGGAGAAGGTGGTAAGGAACCTTCAGTCCTTAGATCTGTGTCACTAATTTTCTCTGTTGATCCCGCATCACTTCCAATGTTTCCATTAATGGTATCATCATCATCATCATCAGAGAGTAAAGTAGATTTTCTTTTTTTATTGCAATGGGTTAAAATTAAATCGTCATTATCTTCATCTGAATTTTCCTGTGCTCTTTCCTGAAGTAATGAATCAGCAGCATTTTCAACAAATGATGGACCATTCTCACTGGAAACTGCTTCATGCAAGCCCAAAGTGTCAAACATTTTTAGAATACAAATTTACTCACAGTAAAACTGTAAAATAAAGAGCAATGCATTAGTTTCTCCTAGTGATCATTACACCTATATAGATGTCAGAATAAGTGAAGACATAACACTGGACACGGTTACTATTTTTCATAGTCTCAATACGCCCTAGCCAATAATGGCCATTGCCCCAGGGTGCAGAAAGCGGGTGAATATCGAGAGATTATTGGCAAAGCATCAGCAGCAAAATTTACGCCATCAGAAGATCTTGCCAACATATTTGGATTGAAATTATTGACTTTGAAATGAATGCAAATCTGGCAGAAATGACTTTTAAATTATTGCAAATCTGGAAGATAAAATTCAGGGTATGCTTCAGCCTCTGCCCCAGAGTTGCTATGTTCGCGTTAAGAGTTATTCTGGGTCAGATGGCCAACTGATCGCAATCAGCGACTAGTCAGAACCTCCTAGCCAACTTTATGGTCTCCTGAGAGTAGGGCAAGAGTTGGCAGAATCCCCTCAGTCCCCTCACCAGGCTATGGTAGCTGTCTGATTTGGGGACTGGAATGTAGACCAAAAAGCAGACATAGAGAAGCTGATTTACGTTCGGTCCGAGTCCTAGGCGGTTCCTATATTCAGGCTCCCCAGCAACTAAAAATTTTGATAGGGTATTGGCAATGCTGCTAGCACCCTCTGCACCCTGGCCATTGCCTAGCAGCAAACATGAAACACCAAGGGTCTGTCTGGTCAGGCATGGAAAACTTCTACTTTTAGGGCTGCAACTAGAGCTTTCCTGCCAATTCCGGGACTGTGAGACTTCCACCAGATGAATTACCTCCTATCTAATTATTAACAAAAGTGCATGATCAGGCCACGAGATTCCAAATGTATTAAAACTTTGTCACATTGGAGCTGCAAAATTTCAGAAATAAATAGGAAAATTCCAATCCAGTGTCTGGTCACTGGCCTCAATACGCTATACAGGGTGCATACTGGTATTACGAAATAATTAACTGACTTTTCCCACGACTCCATGACCATCAATATAATTTTCTAGGTCTTGTATACGACAGGTTTAGCATGACTGAAAGACTAACCGTGCATATTCTACCATCTCCTACAGTTGATAAATAGCAAATGTGTAAACTCTAAAAGCATAGAGTAGGCAGCCACAGAGGAACAAAAATGACACGTATCTGAAAATCAAGCCCACTCTGGAATCATTATGAATTCTATAGTGTCAAATCACAACAAATATTGAGTAATGCACACAAGATTAGACATGATAATGTTAATACAGTTCAGAACACTCTTCGACACCACTACCCTAACATTCTACTGGCAGCTATTTCATCAACTTTTTCTTTAATGTTCAGTTCAAGATTGTCTAGCTTTGTATTCAAAGATCGGCTCATGGCGCTGAACTTTGCAATAATTTTCAAATCCCCCTTTCCCTCCAATGCTTCTGCATATTCATCTGCTGCTGGCTCAAGCACCTTGATGCCCTCCTCTGTACGCCTTTTCTTTTTCTTCAGTTCATCTAGCTCACCCAACAAAGCCATCATCTTCTGGGTTTTCTGGGCCTTCGCATTCTGCTCTTTCTCTTCAGCCAAATTATCATTATAGGCTGTTTTGGCACTGTCAGCTGCAAGCAGCATCTTCTTGGTGATGGCCATCTTGTCCAGGCCACCAACCTGTGCAACATGATCAACCACAGCACGCACAGCAACCATCGTTTGCTCTTTCATGTAGTGTGTCATGATTTCTTTTTAAACAAAAACCCTTTCAGCCATGGCTTGGCCATGAGACAGGAGCTGAGGAGCATGAGCATCTACACTACATTCCACTGATTCCAGAGCTTCTTGTAAGTACTCTTTGACAAAATGGAATGCCAAAATGTGTCCTATCAATCAGAAGTTGAAAATGCTTGAATCTGTGTGTGCATTCAGTTCACTGCAATGTTGCAATTCATCTCTAAAGTTGCACATCTCATCGCACACCATCTACATCTGTGTTAAAGAATCTCTTGGCATCAACAAGCAAAGTGTCTAAAAGTGAGACAGTTCTTCAACTGTCTTGTCCACTTCCTTACGGCCCTTCTTGATGAAGACTTTGGGCACCAGCCATTTCAGGTTCCTAACAAGGCCATACCTGATAGGGCTCTTGTGAGTCTTGTCCAATAGCTTTTGGACTGCAGCCTGCATGAAGTCCCACGTGACACACTTGTGTCTTTGAAGAGAAAACTTGCAAAGTTGCAGTGCCCAGTTGCACACTTGCACTTGCCTTCTTGTCTGCAAGCCCTTTCTTCATCGCAGTCCTGGCCATTTACCAACATCAACCTTATGGAGGGAAATCAAATACCTTTCATTCCATGACTTTCCATGACCTGAAATGAAATCCAACAACTTTCCAGGCTTGGAAAATTAAAAATCAAATTCCTTGTCTTTCCAAGTTTTCCATGACCAGTACGCACCCCCACCCTGCGCGGCTGCGCCTGCCTAATGCAGTAATGCCTATACCCATCATACAGCCATACCCTCCTCACTCCTCAGCCTCAAGCACTTGAAGATTTACTTAATTATCAAACAAGAGAGTTAGAGACTAAGAATAATAGTCAAACCAGGCTGCCACACTAACAGTCTGAGACTCTGAGAGTGTCTCCCAGTGCCAACTGAACTACTCAAATCAAGTCTCATTGTCATGTAGGTACTATATAAATTAGGTCATTGACTGACTATTCATGATTAGACTGATTAGTTAAATATTGTATTTGTAGACTTCTAGTTCTAGCTTTGTAGCTTAGTCTAATTGTTATTTCATTTTCATATAATTAATATTGATAGTCCCTAGTCAGATTGGTCTATACCAGGTGGGTAGACAGTCTGACAGATAGGCTAATGTCGATTTCATATCACTGATATGAGTTGCCAACTTAGGGTAAACGCGGTATATTCCGACATCGTAGGTAATTCCGTCACATCTCAAGCTTTTCCTTTATATTAAGCTTTGTTTTAGTTCCATGCGTTCATTGATGGTTGAAATGGTGACGTCATACATTTGCGTGTCGAAATACTGCAAAAACACTAGGTCTTGGCCATCTAGTGGGAAAATATGAGATCCAAAGAGAGACAATGCATGCCACGTGGCGAGATCATCAAAAAATGTGTCAAATTTGACAGTTGACATGGCTCTACCAAATAGTGAATAACTGTTTTTATAGGAAGAATATTATGGTCTGAGACTTTTAAATACGTCTGTGAATATATTAGGAATCCTTTGAGTATACTTGTATTCGCTGATTTCAAGTCGTAAATAAATTAATAGATGATTAAGTTGAGATGTTGGATTTCGACACATGAAAACTAATTCCGACACAACTTGAATTGGACACACACAGATCCGACAGATCGTTCAAAGCTTTGTACAAAAATTGAAATTTGCTTAATTAAAAGCCTAATAGCTGGTAATTAAAACGTAATTAAGTAGTGTTCAATATTCGTTAGTGTTCTAATTCAAAGCCGTGTTGTATCCCAATACAGCTCACACAGCAAACGGAATTCGAACACGTGGATGTCGGTAATACGTATCAGTTAAATTTGAAGCGCTGACGCAATACGACTCACCACGTGTCGAATATTGCCACACAAAGTGACGGAATGTAGGGATTTGGTAGGTTTCCATTCTAAAGGCTTTTTAATAAATATGGCAACATTTTGTGACGTTTCATCGTTGCTGACGCGTAGTGAAGTGTTTTGAAAGTCATGTGAAGGCAACAGAACTTACGTAACGCATACATTTTTTTCATAGTTTTTCATTTCTCGATGCGTCCTTAATGTGTCGGAATATACCTATTACCGCGTTTACCCTAATAATAATAATAGCTGTTTCAGCATTTACTAGGCCATAGGTCTGTTGCCAATTCTTAACATCGCAGAAAATCCACAGCTTGTTGCAGTCTCGATTCTCGAACTCACAACTCACTGATTCAATTCTGCTGTGCTTAACCACCCAGCTCCTTGCCGATTCTGACCAGAAACTGGCGCACAGAGCTGGGATCAAACCAGCACCTCTCTGCTCCAATCTTGGTACTAGGTACTCTGAAGTCTGAACTGTAACCACTGAGCCACTTGCCACTAATACTCAGCTTTCAGCAGTCAGCACATACTGCACTTAATTTGTCATAAATAAATAAAAAAAAGCTACATTATTTTAGTCAAAAATTACAATGTGCAAGGTTAAAATCAATGAAATAGCATAGCTTCTTATGATAGCTATAATGACTATTATTTATTTATTATTAATATTATGTTGTTTTTTCTTGTTGGAACTTGGAATGTTGTTGTAATAAATGTTGTCCAGTTTTACTTATAAAATAAGTCTTTTATACTGAAGGCCGGCAACATAGGTGCAAATGCAGTGAGAAAATTTAAGAGAAAATTACATTTCAAATGACATTACAAATTTTTCATTAAAAAAAACATTCAAGCAAATTTCAACTTTAAATGCATGTCAATGACTCAATTATTATTTCAATAGCTACAATTTCTTCATTTTACGTGTAAGTCATGTATAAAAAAACATTCCATTCAAATCTGAGACAATCATGAATAATTTTAATACATTTGACTTCTTCGCAACTCTAACCGCTGAACAGCTGAGGAATTGAGTTGAGACGTCTTCAAAACAAGGCGGGAACTGGGAAGACCATACAGGTAGGG